AACAGTAAGTTTGATGGGATCTATCTCCTATAAACTAGATATAATGCCTCTGGACAATGAAATCACTAAAACTCAAATGAAGAGGAAATCAATTAATAGGTAAAAGTCCTGATAAATATGAGCGAGTAATTAAAATCCAGAAAATGTGTAGAATTACTACCCTGTTTCCACTGTAGCCATGTTCTTGAGATATAAGGAAACACAGAGTAAATACAGAGATGGGAAAACGCTGAGTTTTGTGCTAACAAATATAAAGCTAAACATCTATGAGGTCCCACCTAGCGTGCTGAGAGAGGGTGAAAATCACCGCAGCCCGCCCCTTATCTTCTGGATTTGCCACAGAAGGTCTGAAAGAAGTAGTGTTCTTTCCCCAGGCCAGACTGGAGCTCTGGGCTTATACCTCTGAATTTTGGGCTGGGGGTTGGGAGAGAAGAAACCTCAGCTGCTCTTTTTATTTTTATTTTTTAAAGATTTATTTGACAGAGAGAGAGATATAGCGAGAGAGGGAACACAAGCAGGGGGAGCGGGAGAGGGAGAAGCAGGCTTCCCGCCAAGCAGGGAGCCCGATGCGGGGCTCGATCCCAGGACCCTGGGCTCATGACCCTAGCCGAAGGCAGACGTTTAATGACTGAGCCACCCAGGCGCCGCTGAAACCTCAGCTGCTCTTGCAAGTGGTCCGTCCCTCTGCAAAGCGACATGCTAAGAAGCCTTAAGACAGCATCTCTTTTGCCCTGATGATCTCTCTTTCTGAAAAATATTTTCAGGGGTTATTTTTCTGAACAAAAATTCATTACGAAAAACCAAAATAACCAAGACAAGACGCTCGCCAACCAAGACTGGTTACGTAAACCCTAATTCATCGAGTGAAGAAAATAAAATTTTGCCATCAAAATGACAAATCAGCAGATGAGCAGGTGTAAGAACCGTACTAGATGCCAAGCCAAAAGAACAAAGGGCAATTTACAAAGTGGAAAGTCCTGAGCTCGTTGGGTCGTCCCAGCAGTGTGCGCACAGCTACGTGAGGCATGTACGCGTGCCATGGGCATCCGAAATACATAGAAATACGGAGAATATGGAGCTGGGGAGGGAGAGACAAAACATGCCTCAGATTTTATTTTTTCCTATAAAGATGGCTAATTACTGAACTGCGAACAACAGAGCCAGGCCCAGTGGAAGGTCACTTAGCATTCCAACAGGAGCCAGACCAGAGGGTGTCAGACATGTTCATAATGATGGCAGCAGCTAACATCGCCTGGACCCTGGCAAAGGGACCACTGAACACTTGGCGCCTATTAACTCCTGGGAGCTCACGTGGAGGCAGACACAATCACGGAACATGAAACCCAGGCCAGGGGGAGGCTAACTGGACTCGCCCAAGGGGCCCGCTGTTCGCTGGCAAGTAGAACTGGGCGAGCCCCCAGATTTGGTCCCTGCATGCTCAGCCCCCTCTCCACAGGATTTGAGGGGTACGTTTAACTAAGCTTTCAGGAGAGAAGTACGAATTGCTTTAAAGACACACACATTCACAAAGACGGTTCCAAAGTGCTGTTTTGTTTATCCTGGTGATGGATTCTGAGCTGGACAGAGATGGGGCTGAACATGGGGGCCTGATGGCTACAAGGCCACTTTGGATCCATCAATGCTAAGGCTCCAGAAGGACTAAATAGGTTCTCACTCAACGGGAGATTCAAAAGTCAGGAAAGGGTACAGTGAAAAAGCGCCCGTCTCCCTGCCCCCAGATTCCCTCCCAGAGCTGGTGTTTGCTTTAACAGCACACAGAGTGCATTAAACATGCCAAGATCTGAGCCTTGTGTTTTCCACTTAATTACATATGTTGGACATCTCTCCATAGCAGTAGTAAGGAGGTTCTGCATTCGGTGAGTAACAGAAGACTCGATTAGCAATCACAGCGCACATGAATTCCACAAGACCAGAAGCAGAAGAGCCTGGGTCGCCTTGAACCAGCCCCGCCCCTCGAAGCCCCTCACACCACTCTGGTGCCACCAGGACCCGGGCCACCGAGCGGACTCCGCCAGGCTTGAACCAGCAACCTGGCTGCAAGTCCTAATTATGAATCAGAAAACCCCTCATTTGTTACTTTGGCATTGGGACTCCCCTGGGAAAAGTTCAAAGGGCTGCGCAGCAGAGCCCCTCAGGGCTGACTGCCCATCACGGCGCCAGTTACAGCCGTCACCCACGCCCGTGCCTCCCACCTGTACCCTCCCCTGTGCTGGCTCTCAAGATATCCTAGTATTCCAAGGATGAGGGGCTCCAGAGGGGCCATCACAGCACTGTCCCTTGTCCTTATGTGGACAACGCTGTCCTCAAACCAAATACCAACAATGAGACCAGAATGACTAGATTCGAGTTTTCCAAAGTGTGGTCACCAGACCCCACGTGTGTGGAGGGCTGCAGAGCCGTGGGTCCCACACCAGACCCACTGAGTCAGATGCTAGGGGATGCGGCCCAGGGATCTGCATGTTGAACTGAGGCTCTAAGGAATCATTTTTTTTTTTTTTTTCAAAGATTTCACCCATCTGCGAGAGAGAGAATGAGAGACAGAGAGCACGAGAGGGAGGAGGGTCAGAGGGAGAAGCAGACTCCCTGCCGAGCAGGGAGCCCGACGCGGGACTCGATCCCGGGACTCCAGGATCACGACCCGAGCCGAAGGCAGTCGCTCAACCAACTGGAGGCTCCAAGGAATCTTAGTCAAGGTCAGGAGTCACTGACCTGTGTGATGAGGGCCAATGTACTGAATGCCCACGCTTCTGGAGCCGGGGCAGAGCTAGGTCAACTATTTTATACAGCCTCAGAAGGCACAGAAGTGTTCCGTTTGCCCCTTGGACCATACAACCCTGCCCTGCTAGAAGACATCTGGAACTACCCTGCGTTTTCTGCTCTGAAGCCATTAGGGGAGTTCCACATTTCGGCACGAGACTTCTCATATTGGGGCCGAGTCCAAGGACCCCCGCTGAAGTAATCTCTGAGTAAGTGTCCGTGTTAACATAGCAGAGTAAGCACCCATGGGTTGGATTTAATAAACACCCAGATGGAGCCCCTGCTCCGGACTTTTACACATTTCATTTGCAACCAAGTCGCTTTGCTTTCCCTGACCATCCACGGAAGCCCGCAAGGCTCTCTCCGTCTTCCCCTTCCTTGCCTTGCTTTAATTTTCTTGGCAGTATAGGACACTTGACTCGACCTACACGTCCATTATACGGCAATCTGCTTTCTGCTTAGAGATGGCCTCTAGGAGAGCAGGGGCTTTGCTTCCATCCATTCAAGAACATCTGTGAGTGCTGAGCAGGCCCTGTTCTGGGCCCCGGGGACACAGCGGCAAAGGACAAAGGATGTTCTTGAATGGACAGAGCCCGCCAGGTGTGCATGGTGAGCTGCAGGCCACGGTGAGGACCCCGCCTCTGACTCCTGGGTAAGTGGGAGGCCCTTTCTGGGTTCTGGGAGCAGCGACATGGCCGGCTTGCAAAGCGACAGGGTCACTCTGGTGGCTGTTTGGCCGGGTTTGATGGGAGCCATCAGAAGTTCGGTTCTGTCTACGTGAAGCTTGTGATGTCTGTTAAGGACGGCTCGGGGCCAGAAACATCCGTGTGGGAGTCCCCAGCATGCAGATGGCATCTGAAGTGATGGTGAGGGAGTGGCGGTGACCCTCTCAGGGACATGACGGTCAAGTGCAGAGACTGAGTCCCAAGGCCGAGGTGCTCCCCGTGCCCAGCACGTGGGAGGCACTCAGCAGAGGTTTACTGAATGGATGAAGGTTCAAATAACCCTGATGTGGGGGGGAGGGGGGCTACCTCCCTTTTTATGAAAGGAGAAATGTCCCTTAGCTTAGATGGAAAATATATTCCCATCTTCCCCTCGTTACGAAAATCAGCCACAGTTTTTCTGAAGCCCGTTCTTTTACTGTGGCTCGCTGTGATTCATGCCCCATGTTAGGCTACTGGCGTATGCTGCAGACCATTACAAGCTTGGCCCTCCTACAACCTAAATCCCCGCGTTGCTTCTTCACACTGGGGGCAAGTGTGTGAGGGGTAGACCCCAAGGGGCAAGCAGGCATCCTCCATCCCTAGAGGAAGGAGGGTCCATCCGCACAATGGGCATTGCTGCGAGCATGGGATTGGGACAATGCTTGCCCCCGCCCCAGTCCCAGCTGTTTGACACCTGGAAGAGGTGGGTGGGTTTCATGAAAGCCACACGGACTATTATTAAAAGCCCACGTAATGTGGTAAAGCACTGTGCGAAGTCCTAGGGCAAAAAAGGAGGACGGTCCAGTCGTGGCCCTCAAGACGCTGCCAGTCTATTGTGGATGCTGAATCCTCCTTGTGCCATGGTCCCCTCTGAAAGTCTGGTGAAGAGTATGGCCCTCTTTCTAGAAAAATGTTTTAAATACCTAAGTTTACTAAGGAAAATAGTTATTTTGAAGTGCAGTTATTACAATACCTAGGAAAAAAAAACACCCAAATTTATGATGTAGTAACAAATGTTCTTCTTTATCCATGCAAGGAATAATGAATCTAGTGGTGGGTCTAAGAACTACCGACTCTCTGGGGGTATTTACAACAATTTTAATGTGATGGAAAAGATCTACGATTTCTACTTGCAACCAACCCTCAGATTCTTATTTTGGTTTGGTGACTTCATGTGCAAGGGAAAGAAATGCTACATCATAGTCAGATGTTAGTAAAAAATAAAGATGTATGTTTTCTGGGTCCAGATTCATGATCCTCCCCCACCCCGAATTCCCTCCATGGAACCAGAGAGGCCAGAGCCTCCCCTCACATGTACACAGAGGCTGGTGCGGGTACGTGCGGGCACAGGAACGGGGCGTGGAGGGGCAGGATCTGCTTACGAAGAAAGGCTGGTAACTATGAGCTGGGATGTCAGAGCATGGTGAGCCTGGCAAGGGCCCGCGATTCCACGAGGGGAGGAAGGGTGTCAGATTTGGTGGGAAGTGAGGCTGTGAAGGCAGGGCTGCCTCACGAAGCGGCTCAGGCACCATGTCATGATTTTTCAGTGGAGGCAAGACAGAGCCATGGAAAGACTTTAAGGAGGACAGATTTTAACAGGATCAGATTTATATTTCGGAAAGATACTTTTAGCAGACAGACACTTGGAGGATGGATAGTCCGGGGAGAAACTGGCAGCAGGGAGATCCGCTGGGAAGACGCTGAACTGTGGGGCCAAGAGATGAAAAAAGCCAAATTACTATAGTAAAAAGTGATGGATGCAGAATGTCTCAAGGAGGCAGAATTAATATGGATTAGAGAGCAGGGATGATAAGAGTCAGGAAGGACTCTCCATCTCTGGAATAAAGGCGGACCATGTTTGCCTGAGGTGGGGAAGACACGCAAGGGAAACTGTCTGTGGGGAAGAGGGAAATCATGGAGGACGGTGAGTTCACTTGAGTTTGAGATGCCGACGGCAGAACGGTCTAGAAAGGAGACAGAGCTGAACATAGAGAGCTTTCTCTATTGGGGTGTTAAATTCTTTCTTATTGCTTTGTAAGGGCTCTTTATATATATTTACATATATATCTGTCATATACAATGCAAATATTTTTGTCAGTTTATCAATCACTCAATTCACAGAGAGCTGTGAATTTCCCCGATTTCTGCCTTGGGCATCGTGCTTCGAGAAATTTCCCCCAACCCCACAGCAAAGGAGTCATCTAAAATTTCTCCTCGTGTTTTTATGGTTTCGTTTTTTACACATAAGGATTTAAAACATCTAGACTTGATTCTGCTGGGGCTCAGCTCTCTCTTATCCTCTTCATAGCCAATTGCTCTGGTACCACTTACCGAAAACTCCATCCTTTGCTAACTTATTTAAACTCACGCAGTTTTTACAGACAGCTTCTTCTAAAATATTTTCCCCTTAATTTCAAAACCTTCACTAATATACAGAGCTACCAGCAGGAAAAAAGAAAAAAACAATCAACCACAGGTCAACACACAGAATCGACCACTTGACGTAAGTGGTGCTTTTTCCACGATCAATGACAAATTCTGGATTTCTAACCACGCTTGGGCTTCCCACAGAAAAAAATTGGGAGTGTCCACTGACCTTTCTATTTGGTAAATCCTAAAAACTGTACTGCTGTCTTAATGGGTAGAAAAGAGTGCAGAAGCGCATCAAAGTGGGAACAGGCCAACTTTGAAAAGATAAATGAAAAGGTACAAATGTATGCTATCCAGTAAAATTTCGCGAATCTGCTACTTTTGCGCTCCAGGCTACGTTGAGAACATCCAAACACTACAGGATTAAAAAAAATTTTTTTCCCTTCCGACTCCTTTAGGTTTACCTTTAGGGAAATGAGGGGGCGCACGTGCGGTCATCTGGGGGTTAATTCTCACTGATGCCGAATGCCCCGAGTCTTTGCTTGTTCATCAGGGCATTAAATCTGAAAGCTCAGGAGAGCAATGCAGCCGGGCTGCAAGAGTAAGGCTATAAAGTTCTGCATTAAAAATTCATATTGCAGGCTCGCCTCGGAACTCGGCTCTGGCTGAAAGGAGAGCTGGCGGGGAAATATGAGACACCCCACTGTCTTTCTGGCAATTGGAGACATTCCTCAACAAACAGCACCTCAGGAAGGGAATGAAAGGCCAAACAAGCCGTGAAGGAAATCAATGAGTTCAATTATCTAGCTCGCTCTCGCTTACCTATAGGAAACTTTTCATTCTTAAGGCTGGTTCCAAAAAGTTTTTTTTTTTTTTTTTATTATGATATCCCAGAATAAGAGCCCCAGACATCCTTGCTGGTGCCCCGATGTTTGGCACCTCTCTTAATGTGTTTTACAACAGCCCAGAGAGCCCCAAATTCTCCAAGCCACACGGGGTGAGACCTCTCCTGGAGTCTGAGACTTGCCTCGACGTGCGGCCAGAGGGGACCACACGTGGGACGCCCTGCTCGCGTGTCAGGACCTGGGCCTGCACACATGTGGCATTCAGACTCCACCAGCGTTACTCAGTGGTTATGAACCTCCAGAGGTTAGGACATTAACAGCTCTGCAATGGCAGGCGCTTGGAGCTTTCTGCTCCCCACGTTAGCAGCACCCAAGTGGTAACTGGTCATGATTTCTAATCCCGAGCCCTTAGGACGAAGACTTCCACAGCTGCGGCGTGCTGACGCGGACGAAGAGGCCCGGTGGCACAGATATCCCGAATTTCACAAGGTCAACATGGGAGAGGGTAAGGGGTGGCTGGAGCCCCGTTCACTGAGGGTTTGTGTGTGGATACTATGCCAGGCGCTTTATGGGGGCATTCCTTCATTTCGCTATTGAGGACACTAAGGCCTGAGGACAGAAACTGGGTGCCCTGCCCAAGGTTACTCCTCTTACTGAGTCAGGAATCAAGCCTCGTAGTGGCCTTGCTCACACTGTCCCCCATGTCCTGGGCTAGTGCCTTCCGTGGAGACCACTCCACAAGCAGGCTTCGCAGGCCCTGCTGGCGGACAGAATCGGGAGATTCAGCTTCTGGGAAGCAACTGGGGGATCAAGTTAAGAGGCCAAAGAGGGGGCAGGCTCTTCAGTGATGCCCGCTGCCATCCAGTCCGGTCCCATCCTTTTACTAACGAGGACACGGCTACTGCTGAGGGAGGGGACTTTGTGAGGCCCAACCGGTGACAGAACTGGGGCTGGACCCAGGGTCTCCTGACTCTAGGCCTAGCACCGTCCACCATCCCCTGACCAGAGGAGGCTATGATGTCTATCACCGCCACAAAACAGTAGTCTGGTAGGGAGGCCAGAGCTGCTGGGGCCCTTGGAACATTCTGGGGGTCCAGACTCTCCCGGGAAGAGGGAAGAGGGAAGCCAGCTGAAAACGCCACAGCCGCTGCCAGAATAGAGGCACAGAAAGCCAACAAGTAGGAAGCTTTCTAGTTTTAACCTGCGAGGCAATGAGAGCAGTGTAGTCAGGCTCCCGAACGACAGGGAAGCTAATGAGTGGGTGTCTCACAGCACGCCTATTTGATGGAATACTAGGCAGCACGCATTAGGTTTCTAAAGGATAAGTTAATGACATGGAAGAAATATTTACATGTCAAGTAAAAAACAAAAACAAACCAAACCAAGCAAACAAACCAAACCAACAGCCTAGAAATGAAAACTTCACATCCATCTGATGCTATCTATAAAAGACAACAGAATAAAGCACCGTCTAGAAAAGAGACTGGAAGGAATATGCCAGAATGTTAACAACGGTTATCTCTGCATCGTGAGATAATGAGTGATGACCTGTTTTCTAAAACTGTTTAGAATTTTCTAAATTTGGTATAATACACATGGAGGACTTCCGTAATTAAAAATACTAAGCATCATATAAAAGGAATCGATCTTCATTGATTCGGGGGATATGCCACGGGAAGGACAGTCTCTCACTTCTGCCAGCCCTCCTGCAAAGGGCCCTGGACCGGTCAGTGCACGTCCGATCACATTCTCCTCTGCCACCTGGGAAAGACAGGAGATGCGCCACATCATGGTGACCAGTGTGGCCCCGGGCCTCGGCAGTAGCAAGGGACTCCTGTGGCGGGCTAGAAACGCATGGCTCTTGGAGGAATTTCTCTGGGGGCGGGAGGTGGTGTGCAGGTTCCAAGCAGGGGCTCCGTAAGCCTTCCTTCCTAAAGCACTTCAAAGGTTCAGATGGCTCCCGCTTTCCTTTTAGAAGTCATCAGCTTCCTTCGGTTGTCCTTCCGGAGAGTAAACAATGTCACCAGTCACGGTCCAGGCCTCGCACTACTGAGACCTCATCCACCTGTCGTCAAGGCAAAGGCTCACACTGATTTACGAGTTCAACCAGAGTTCTTGCCCTCCGTGATGCACCCACGACCGTGCGGACATGCACACGGTGTACAGATAGGATGAGCCCTCCTCGGAGGCAGTTCAGCTGGTGTTTGTCAACACCGTACGGATTGCAGGAACACTCCGTTACTTGCTCCACCCCCAGTCCTGGATGTAGGCAGCGGGGATATGATGCCCATCCTACAGGTCGTTAGATGCACCAGGATGGCTGTTTTCTCCATCGGTCTCCTTACCTGTTTCCTTGAGCTTCAAACTGTGAGCTCCCCAAGTTTCACCTTTATAGCGAAATCAGGGAAACCTCAAGGGTCTCTAAAAACACACAAATTTTATAAAAGCGTGCCAAACCCCGGTGACAGTCGAGGAATAATGCTTTTCTCTACAATCCCCTCTCCAAGGATGCTGGAAGAAGAGGATTACTATCTCTCTATCCATAAGCACGTTTGTACACACACCCCACACAGCATCGCCATAGGCACACGTGTACATGGGTGTTTCAGGGTTCAGAGTGGAGCATGCGAGCCCGTGTGCGGATCGCATCTGGAACCTCCCCACCTCTCTCATTCTGCAGTCCCTGCGCTTGACACAATGCCTGACATTTTAACACAGGCCTTTAGTGAGCGTAGCTGAAGGTGGGAGGCGTAGAGATTGCTGGTTCTTGCTGATGCTGGGTAATGTCCAGACACACCTGGAGTCCACGGAACAGGTGAAGGATCCTTGGCACTCAGAGGAAATTGTACGTGGACTTGAAAAGATGAAGCCACCCCCTTCTTCCTGCACAGTGCCCTGGGCTGGGAAGAGTCCAGATCAGTGCCCTGGGCTGTACTGCTAAGAGACGCCGCTGTTGCTACAAAGGCCAAGGAAAGCCCTTTGGGGCTCACCCAGGCATCGCATTTTAGGGTGTGAAGTGAAATGCTTGTACAGGGATGGAAAATCCCAGGAATTCTACAAAATGCACAGTTGTACTCTTCGGGAGATAAAGCTATAGAGGGGGAAAAAAGAAAAGCCCCAAAATGTCCTCGGTTGGTCCCTGCAAGCATGATCTCGTTGCCTCTAAGGCTGAAGGGACAGTAGGTTCTTTATTCAAGCCCCATCCCCTCGAAACCATAAAAGTGGCTGCCTCTCTATTTTTAGGGAAATTAATCTAACCAGGCTAATTAGCAACTCGTACTGGAAATTGATGACTCATCAAAAAGACAGGAAATAGCAAATGTTCCGTTCTTAAAGGTACAGCCGAGAGACTCCATTTCAGGAGACTAAAGCCGGTGTTTTCAAGTTCAACCAGGAGATGCGCATCCATCCAATCGGATTATCAAAATAGGTGTGTGATTCTCAGGCTCTGTCACCTGGGCTCTACCGGGCCCCGTTCCCTAAGTCTTTC